TGTGATACAACCCCACCATTGGCAACAAGTACAATAAAATTAACCTAAAACAATTACTCCCTCCGTCCCTTTTTAGTTGTCCACTTTAGAAATGGCACACAGATTAAGGCAACAATGATTAGCACAGTGAAGTTACAATTTTACCCTTATGACAACTTTTCACTTCAAAATTACAACCACTTATTTGAATTCAAGTGAAATAAATTGGAGGGAAACAACATACACTTTTACAATTTTCAAGAAGTGTAAATAAGGGTATAATAGGAAAAAATTTGTTGTCCTTTCTTGATTTGTCAAAATGGACAACTAAATAGGGACAACCAAAAAAGGAAATATGGACAAGTAAATAGGGACGGAGGGAGTAGTACACTATATTATTAGCTTCCTCATTTGACCCTACTTTTATATAGATGTTGACTTGACTAGTCTCTTGAGACTGATTTTTGGTCAACCATGTACACTCCTGTAGTGTAAAGACCGAGTAAAATCTATAGGTTATATTGTGTGACATTTATATATATCTATAATAATATAATTATCCATTTACATTTTTGTATAGGTTCAATGGAGGGTATTGGGGGTCCCAATAAACATGCTTTTCAAATCATGTATCAATAATTTCAGAAACTTCAAGGAAAAAATTAAAGTGCGTATTTTATTCCAATTTGATGTTATTTATTCAGAAATATATATCTGGCTTACTATCCAATGTTGATAGACAGAATTTTAATAAATAATATAATTCAAAAATATGTGGATTAGAAGCATATTACGAGTTTAAGTGTTTTTTGTAATCACAAATAGAAATCCAATACTATAGTGGTATTAAAGTAAAAGAAAAGGACATACGAGTAGGTTCATTATATTATTGATCGAGTTTTGAATCGTAATAAAATAAAATGGGATAATTACCATTCCATTCTCGGGTTAACACATGTTATGTTGATGTGTGAATGAAAATGAACAATATGAGGCTTGCTGAATAGTTTTTGTTCATTTTAATTTAATGTCAAAGTATCTGAATTTCAACTTGAGATATGTTCTGGTCTCCTGTCATTTGAATTAATCATGTTCATTCCTTGAAAATGTAAGTTAGTCAAGATTTATTCCCCTTAATTAACCATGTTTATTTTCTGATATTAAAGTTTGAGATTTCTCTTTGAAATATCGAGAAATTAAATTATTCTTTTGATCGGCAAAGTTTTTCTCCTTTTACTTTTTTTGCTAATCGATTTGTGCAAGCTTCAAACTTTCAGTCACAAGTGTATGTATTTGAAAGTGAATGTCTAATTATGGGGAGCAACCGACTACACCGATTTGCATTCCTATCAGGCTGAAATCTTAGATACTCCCTCCGTCTCTATTTAGTTGTCCATATTTCCTCTTTTAGTTGTCCCTATTTAGTTGTCTATTTTGGCAAATCAAGAAAGGACAACAATTTTTTTCATATTATACCCTTATTTAAATAAAGTTGTCATAAATAAAGTAAATAAACTTATGAACTTCCCAACATTGATTAGTTATCTTGAGTTAATTTATTTTGGAATTGTAAATTGTACTATAAGGGTAAAATTGTAACTTCACTATGCTAATCATTGTTGCCTTAATCTGTGTGTCATTTCTAAAGTGGAGAACTAAATAGGGAATGAACCTTGACTAACTTTAATGTTCAAAAAAATTAACTAGTTAATTAATAGGTGGTAATGCAAATCAAAGATTCATTGTCCAAATTAACCAGATTTGTTTCCTAAAATTAAAGTTAGTCAAAATGTTCATTTCCTGAAATTAAAGTTAGTCAAAGTACATTCATTGAAATTAAAAAAAAAACGTTATATTTACTATCCAGACTTTGTTACCTACATATATAACAGTATATCATCAATCAAACAATATTTATAATAGGGAATTGAGATATTAAAATTGGTAATTAAGAGAAGCAATTGATAGAAGGTTTTTTTTTTACCACCGAAGACAATATCTTTTGCCATTCTTGGCCAAATTATTTGATTTGATTTGATAGGTATATGGAATTAAAAGGGAAAGAGTTTGGGCAATACTGCTGTGATAATTAGAGTAATTTGGGAAGAAAATAATATTCATTCATTTAAAGAAAAATGTGAGAGGATTTTATGGATATAAAAAGATCTGATTAAATTTAAATTGCATATTTGTGTTCAATGTTAATATTTGGGTCTAACTAAAATTTATCAAAAATACTGCTAAATTATTGAGTAAAATAATATTTTAGCTACTTCAGTCTCGTATGTTTGAAAGTAGATAAACTTGCAATAAAATAAAATAAATTTAAGTTGGGGTACAAATTAAAGTAAATATTTGATCATTTCCACTCCTTCGTGGCAGCTCTTCAGGCCCAAGTTCTTCATTTTGATCTGCAGCCCATTTACTTCTTCGTCTAGTTATGGGCCTAATGGTTGGGCTCATAACATTTCTATTTGATCCAACATGTATATGGAGATTAGTCTTTGTTATATCATAATAAAACATTTAAATGACCTTAATTTTGAATTTTTAGTTACTTTAAAGATATGGTAAGATTATAAACTTTTATTGTATAAGTATATCTTGCTTTTATATTTTGGAATGAAAATAAAAACTATAGAAACAATTGAAGTTCCAACTCGATCGGGTTTTCTTGTAAAACAAATTATAATTATGAAAAATTCTGCTTACACATAGTAGACAATTTGCATGCATATACCTTGATTAAGTAATGACTTCGATTGTATAAGTATAGGAGTGACAAATTAGCCTATTCGATCAATCGATTTAAGTTTGATCGGATTATTGAGTCATTCTAATCTATTAGTTCAGTTTATAAGAGTTTCGGATGATATGCCACTCATATTGACTCATGAGAAAATATTATTTATTTATTTGATATGATATATATTATATATAGATAAAATAAAGAAGTTTATTTAGTACTAAAATTTATAAAAGAACAAAAACGATGTGAAATTAGAAGCTTCCTAATGAAGTGATGATGTACGTGTTCAATCATCATAAAATAATTTTGGTTTGGACCTTTCAAATGCCTGTGGTGAAAACGAAACTTAGAAGGAACGTGTTTGGTATAACCAACGATACCTTTAATTCATCATAAGTCATAACTACCTTTTAATTTGCTAAGAAAAGATCACACTATAAACAGTGGCGGATCGGAGCCACACCCCTTTGATGGAAAATATTGTGTAGCTAAATATTTTTTATTTTTTTTTATGTTTATACATATATATATTATATATTGATATTCTTTGACTTTTATAAAATTTAATTTCTTTATATTTTAACACTCCTTAGTCGAAATTCTGACCACAAGCCACTAATTATAAATGGTTTATGATAAGTAGGTAAAGGAATTTAGTACCACTTTAATTCCAAGCTTTAATGCAGTGGGTATCAACATTTACTTCAGCTAGTTTCTTATGGTCCTCTTTTATTTCGAGAATTATTTTTTTGTGCATCAGATGGCACTGATCAATTCTCATTTTTTCTTTTAACTGATTTTAATAAGATTAAAATAATTAGTTGGAAAACATTATTTTGATTTGTTTATCTTTTAGTTCCAAAGCATGTCTCTCCAAAAGCATCAGAGACCCTAAAATGATGTGGATATATAGGGGAACATTGTTCCATGATTGTCATGTTAATTACATGAGTAGAAATATTGGTGATTAAAGAAAATTTCTTGCCAAAAATAGACTTATAATCTACATAAACTATTACAAATATCACTCATAGTTGATTAACACACTAATTGTGATAAAATTAATATTACCCACTCTTTTCCTTCTCAAATTACATTTACATATCATCATAGTATGTAATTGCATCAAACAAGTACTCAGCGTTATATGTTTTTAATCATTTATTAAATTGGCATTATTACTATTTTTTTAAAAAATATTAAAGAGGGGAAAAAGGCAACCCCAAATATTGAAAAGCCATATGGAATCTATATGTTACAAAAAGTATATGTAGAATATTTGCTTTATCCCACTTTTGATACTTGAACTTTTTTTTTTTCCATCAATACAATTTGTACATTAATTCAAACGAAACATGAGGGGATCTAGTCTAGTGAATAATGATCAATGAAGTGGGTTGAATAATCATGTGTGATGTTCTCATCTCCAAATTATCTTTGTGGATAAAATCACCTGTAAAATTAGTTCAAATGCGCATAAACTGGCCTAAACACCATCTTACCATAACATCAATAAATTCCACTAGAACTTTGCAATTTTCTCAATTTATACATCCTCATAGATCAAACTATTACATATACTATATATAATTGTTAAAAAAGGGTGGGGGGGGGGGGTGAGGAGTAAAGAGTGAGAGACACAC